TTAACTCTGTAACTCTGTACATGTCAGCTGGGGTCAGCTGACCCGGCCTGTGGGGTCAGCACACCTGTAGGACCCTGTAGGGACCCTGTACTTGTGCTCTGCCTTCAAATGTAAGAGTCAGAGCCACTGTGTGTGTTTATGTATGTGTGTTTGTGTGTGTTCTACCACATGACACACTCTGTGGGCAGCTCTGTTTGGTAATGAACCCTCACCAGGAGCCGGGTCAACAGGCCTGAGCCCCCCCATGTGAGTCTGGGGGCTGCTCTCAGAACCAGATGGTGAAATATGGTCAACAAGGTGGAGAAGTTGTACTGAAAAGACACTCCTCTAGCTCCAAATATAAAAGCAATCGGGGGAGTTTTTCTCTGGTGCTGTCCCATTTTGGGATTTTATCCCGGAAAGGCCTTGCTACTGTCAGAGCTCCGGCAGGGGCTCGTTCTGAACCCGCCTTGCCCCCACAGAGACGAGATCGGCCTGATCCAGTGCCCCGAGGCGCGCTACAACCGCAGCCCCATCGTGCTGGTGGAGAACAAGCTGGGGGTGGAGAGCTGGTGTGTCAAGTTCCTGCTGCCCTACGTCCACCACAAGCTGCTGCTCTACCGCCAGCGCCGGCACTGGCTGGACCGGGACGGTAGGACAGCTCTTCCTCCTCTGATAACAACACCTGCCCTCCCTCTGTCTGCGAGGGAACAGCTAATGTTCGTATTCAGTTGGTTTAGAGCTGCACCTGACGACTCATTTCCTAACGGCTAATGTTTCGACTCGTTTTCTGATTGGTTCGACTAATCTTAACGACTAATTTCCCACCCAAAATCAAGGGAGTTCTTTTTATTTTGCACTTAATTTTGAGCTTTTTATTTTGCAACTCAAGGGCCAAAACATAAAATATCACCTGTGTGTCAAAAGTAAATAAACAAAATATTGAATGAATAAAATAAAAAACTTAAATAAAATAAAGCGAAATCAAATGTGAAAATTTCTTCCATTTTACAAAAGTAATATAAAGGTATTCAAGTCCGATTGGTCGACTAATCTTACGACTTATTTCCCCCCCCGAAAATCAAGGGATTGCTATTTGACTTGAGTTTTTTTTTATGTTTAACTTAATTTTGAGCTTTCTATTTTGCAACTCAAGGGCCAAAACTCAATGGCCTCCAAATAAAACGCTGTGGCTCACTGTGTGCTTTTTGCCCCCCCCCTAAAAAACTTAAATAAAATAAAGCGAAATCAAATGTGAAAATTTCTT